AAAAATGATCAGTTTGAAGTTATTTTCTCGGAATTTAGCTCGGTAAAGCGTACGTAACTCAAGTGACAACCATTTTCTTGAGACGAGGACAAAATTACCTGGCTAAATGTCGTCACTGTATTAAAACTTCCCACGGAAAGTGGAACAGCTAAAACGCCAGGAAATGGTCATCTGCTACTACATGTACTAGTATTTTGGACTTCGTGGTATTTACTGTTGTTATCTATTATCCTTGCATCATATGTGCATGATGAAAAGACATTTATTCGTACATATCTCTAAAAAAACTGTGGGTAATTCACCTGACGGGATGGGAGTATCCAACTAGTTATCGAGAATACTAGTTCCTTCTCCAGTCATATTGTCCTCGTTCGAAGAAAATGGCTGCCACCGGATTTTGTATGTGGTTCAGATAACCAAATCCCGGGAAAAAGAACATCAAACTAATGGTTTTTGTCACGGTTTTTGTATGGTGAGAGTTTTAATAAACATATTATTGATTGGCGTTAGCTTCGATGGTGGAATGCGAGAAATGTTCTGCTTTTCTCGACTTTTATTTGCGTTGCCAATCTATGGGAGGAGCCATAGGCCTTCTGTGTCGATAAAAATCCTGATGTCTGAAAATAACAAATTTAAAGACATGACTAAAATACCACCACAAAGACTAAAGACCTACACAAGAATAACTATGGCCCCACAGCTAGACGTGTTCAGATACAATATGGATTTTTCTCAAAGTATTTTTCGCCAGACGGCAATCCTGAATACGGTTAGAACTATCACTCCCGGTTTCACGTGACTCTCGGCTGTTCGTTATACTGCGAGTACTGACCGTATGTGTCTTACTACACTGTAGCCTCGTTATAACGAACACGTCGGGAGACAGCTATTTAGTTCGTTATATTGAAGTGTTCGTTATACTGAATAACCTATTCATTGCTCGTATTGACACCAAGGATCGACACCTATTTATATGCAAAACAATAAAGTCATTCTAGTTGCTTTGTTTCTTTTTATTCTACCATTGTTACACGTTATGAATAAATCAAAATAAGTTACAAAGCTTGTACATGTATTCCGTCAATTCAATTACAAATATATTAAAAATATTCAATGTAAATGTTAGAGTAATTTAACATATTCACGATCACCAAATGTTCGTCGCCTCACTGGTTGAAAAAGCTTGTGATCTTGGTTTGTTTCCGCTTGGAAATAGCATTTTCTTTACGTGCAAACGATAATAATTGTCGAAGTTGCAAAATTTTAATGCTATCGATTAATTGTCCTTCAAACCAAGCAAGTGCTGTCTGAAGTCCGTTAACAACATCGATTGTCGCAGGAATTTCGTGATTGTCATGGGAATCGTCAATGTCACTTTCACACGGCGTATCAGTGGGTGAATCGCGTACTGCTGAAATGATTTCTTCGTCCGTCATTGAACAAGTCACTTGAACATCACTGGAATTCACTTGAAATTCACTGTCGATATTTACCCACTCTCTGGCAATATCCTCTAGGTTTTCGCCACTGACCTCTTCGATGTG